GATATTATTTAGTTGTTAAAAATTAATATATATCGATCGGAAAACTTCAGGAGAGGATGGTTCATTCAACAATTTTTTCACTTTAACTATCCCCTAAAAACCCCAAAAAATGCAATGGGGAGACCCATACAAAATTTGAAGTATCAAAAAATGGTAAAATAAGCAATTGGGTATTATATTGGAAGTCTCCTGAAGAGAAACAGAGTTTTCCGACCAAGAACTCTATACCATTTCCACAAAAAATGGTTTTTCCCATATAAAGCATATGGAAAACGGCTTCAGCGACCCCTAATTAAATTTTTGTTTCAAAAAACTAATCCAGGCGTATATTTTTCGATATAGAACAATCCTAGGGCACGAAAGCATTAAAATTCCGTCTTTACGTTTTCACATGCATTTTTGGACCACCCTAGTATGTATACTTGGAAATCATAAACAAATATATACATGAAAAGGCGTTTGTGCCGCGTTTTTCGCAGCCTTGCCATGCCACCAAATCCATCTCAGGTCTTTGCAAATGTTTTACTGCCAAACAGTGTTTGCCCACACAAGTGTCTGGCTTCCAACTTCAAAAAAATAGATGGATTGCTGTACATATGTAGTTACTATATGCATATTTACTACATTCATACAATACTGCCTCGTAACTTGTCATTTATGCCATCAATTGTTTCGACCGCGTTCGCAAAATTACTCATTTGTTTGTTAACCGTCGAAACTGACGAACGCAAATTGTTTAACTTATTTTATTTAACTGAAATATAGTCAATAGTTTCGCGTTTATTACGAATGATAACAATTTACATACTTCCGCCTTCTTCTTAATAAAACCAAGTTATCTATTTACTACATCTTAACGCAATGAAAATGCATCTGATTGTGAAATGGAATTGCTTCTCTTGTTGCAGGGAGATACAAGCAAACACATCCACCAGTGGTGAGTGGATAAAGGATTACACGCGTGGCTCGAGCGGTGCTGTCGATCATTTACCCACAACCGACGTGTTGCGGCGCAGTATACGACGTTCCTGGACGATATCAAGTGAGTAATAAAAAAGAAAAATAATGCAAAGTGAATTTGTCATAGTGAACCGCATATACTATGTACATTAGACTGCATCACCAAAAGCCGACCGATTTTACAATATCTCCAAAAATGGTGTTTTTGATGAGTAAAAATAGTTTCATAAAGAACTTTTTGAAAAAATCCCCTCAGTTTAAGCTTAAAAACTCTGCATAAAAATATTTAAAATTTTTTTCAACGGCATCGTAATAATGAGATTTTTAATGCTGTTTCTTAACTCTTTTCAAAGATTGGACTAAGAAAAACTTGTATAACTCGGCCAAAACTATTCAGATTTAGACTTGTGAGGTATCATTAGAAAGATATTTTACCACTAATTTTATTTCTCATTCATGCCCCATTTTTTTCAAATACCAGCACATCTTAGTTAAACTTGGAATGAGGCTCGTTTACCCAACCTTTCTCTTTTATACTTTGAATGAGTTTATTTTCAAAGAAATATAAAGGGTGAGAAAACGCCTTTGCAGTGATACCTCATAAGTCTTAATCGGATTAGTTTTTTCAATCTCAGACTGGTTTGTCATCTGAGGGTATTAATTCAAAAATTTCTTTAAGAAAAAATTTTTAAACAATTTTTAATCTTAAAATAAAATAGGTTTTATAATCCTAATGGAAACAAGGTACCGATTTTTTATTTTTTTTGTTTTTGTCTAATGTACATACATATTTGGAAATATTGATATTGCAGAGCAATAAGAAAATAACAATATTTAGTAATAACCAGTACATTGAATTTCTTTATTATTCGTAATCCGTGGTCTGATTCCATCTCTGAACATCAAATTTCATATAATTTAATCTTATTTTTCTGCAATTCATAACCTCCGCTGTACCGTACAATGTTTCGCCCCATTTCTTTTTATTTCACCAACTTGACTTTGTAAAATTTTACCTCTGCTCACATTACACATGTTCTGTCAAAAAAGGGCAGGAATCTCCGCAGCTTTACATTCGACCCAATAAAGAGAGGCGCGCCTGAGTACAAAGTTAAGATAGTCTTTCATACGTCGTTCAAGATATGATAGATTAACGGCTATCGACCAGATGAAATATTATTATTATTATTTTTCCAAATGTGAGCACGAGTGCTGTTGCTTTTCTAAGCTATGATACGATATGAAATTAAAATACCCAAATTTTAATAGATATTTGCAAAGAAATGATCTGTCGAGGCGGCTGTTGGAGTTTCCGATAGACGACGAGTACCGCAGACGATGGAACGATGAGCTGTATGAGCTTTGCAGCAACATGGGCATAGTGAAGCGAATTAAAATACAGCGGCTTCGCTGGCTCGTTGATTTCGCATGAATGGACGCAAACACTTCAAAGCTGAAAGCATTCAACGCGAGTCTCACCGGTGGTATCACAAGAAAGGATCAGATTGAAAAGGAGCTGGCTTCACTTAGCATTTCCTATTGCCGTCAGTTCGCCCAGAAGAGAAACCACTGGCGTGATTTATTGGACTTGGTGGCCAAAGCCGCTTAGACGGTTACAATGCAAATCAAAAAGAAGGGAAACAGAATGCAAAAAATTCTTGAATTCACTTAGTTAGGCGGAAATACATGGCTGAACGTCCCTGACTGCTATGGCGGTGTATTGTAAATTGGAGTATTTTTTAACAGCCTCATTGCGGGTAACTGCGTGGCTGATGGCTTGGAAAGGAAAGGCGCCCCTTAAACGTTATAACCGGAGGGGGTCACCTCTGTCCTCCTGTGGTTCTCTCTTGGATGGTTGGACCTCATGTAAGCTTAGTGGGCGCTGGTTAAAAACTAAAACTTGCGCAACTGCAAGATCCTGCCGGCCTAGAGTGGATCGGAAGCGGTCAAAAGAGCCCCTTACGCCTCACCCAAAGCATCAGCTCTCGCTGTTGGTGATGCTCTGTCAGATTACTGTGCGATTAGTATTCACGCGGTAAGGTTAGGAATTTTACCTGATCCTTCCTGTAGTAGCTGGCAAGAGGGTAATGAGCGGAATCATCTCAGCACTTTCTATTAGACTGCCCAGCCTTCGCGAGGCTAAGGTGGAAACATTTTGGCTGGCACTCACAGACTAAAAATGTGGAGCTTTCAGGCATTGACGTCAAACGAATTCGTAATTTTTTAATAAGCTCGCAGCATTTCCTCACAGTTTCCGTGGAATCACAAAGGACATTCTCCTAAATTTCCAAGTACACAACTAATGTAACCTAACCTAATGTAGTGGGCATTTATAGTTTCGCTTTACTTGGTATTTAGTTTGTTTATAGTGCTCAATATTGTTTAATTTTGTTCAGAAACTTATTCGAATTAATGTCGCTGCAGACAGGGAAACTCAGCAAATACTATTGAACAATCACCATATTTCAATGATATTGCTCCGGCCGATTTTTGTCTCTTAATTCAACTCAAATTACAACCTTGTTGTAACCATTTTGAATCAATAGAATAAATAAGATATAATACATGTTTTGTGTTTTATTGACCGATTTCAGTATTTTTTTGACAAGAATGTATACACATAATTACTAAAGATAGGCGATAGGTGCAACTTAATCCCGATCCCGCCCATCCCGAAATTAAATTCTTAGGTCCCGATCCCGCCCTTTCCGACGTTTTTCAGAATCTATCGCTAAGTAAAATTCACATGTCTTTCAAAAAAATAAAATAAATAAATAAGTAAAAAAAAAATTAATTAATTAAAAATAAAATAATGAAAGATCTGGCATCTTACGATTATTTGGTTTTGCCTTGCTGTTCGTTTTCGTCTCAATGGGCACGTTCAGAAGGCGCAACAGCTCAGTAACTGTTGCGATTGTACCTTCTGAACGCGTTGTTTTGCACTTCTGATCAACTGAACAGTTGCGTGTTAGATGATCGGAATATTTTTATGATCATTTGAGACAACATGTTGTGTGTTTTGAATTTGACAGCCAATGTATCAAGCCGTTCAGAAGGCGCATTATGATCACTGATTTTTTTAGCAACGGTTGCGCTCAACCTCTGCGCCTTCTGAACCTACCCAATAAAACATAAAAAAGTGCATATCTCATTTATAGTTTTAAGGAAGATTTTCTGAAGTTTTGGTTTTATCGGAGGTTTTGGGAAAGAATTTTGGTCCCTTCCCACCCGGAAACTTTTTACAGACCTTCCCGATACCGCCCATCCCGGCTAATTTGAAATCAGTAACGTGGGTCTTCCATCCCGATATATTATTTTCGTATTTTCATTTATATACATATCTATTCCTAGCGATATTCTTATCAATACGCCTATCCATCCGTCATTTGTCCTCCATCAATTTAATATTCGTTTCCCATTTTTAGTGCGACGATCACGTTTCCAATACACAACTTTTCTTTTCACAGATCCCCAGGACGATTCGAACAATCAAAACCCTCAAAATCCCGTCGCTGATAATCTTTATCCGCAACAAAAGAACCTTATCGAATCGCAATCTGCCGGCAGCTATCCCTCTCTCGTACGCCCACCGTCACAACAACGCCCACACCCCACTGCCTATCAAAGTGGTAGCGTGATTGGTATAAGCACCGTGGGAGCCGCACATCCCCAACCCGCTTCCGATTATCTGGTGAATACCCAACGACGAGTCCTACGTCAATCAACTCTGCCAAGTTCTCTGCCCAACAACGATCCCAATCTAAGTGGCAGCGGCGCCAATTTGGCCAATTATAATTACGTGAATCTTACTGCACCCACTTCACCGCATCAGATGCAGAAAAGTCCAATTTATCCTAGCGCATATAACAGTGATGACATTATAAACATGAGCACCACTGATTGTGATAATTATTCTCAACAAATACATCAGCAGCAACAGCAAAAACCTATGAATATTCAGCCACAACAGCAGCAGCAGCAGCAGCCGCAGAGTGTGATAAATCCCCAAACGCATCATCGCCTACAGGTATTTGCTATATCAAATCACCAGAGCATGCAAACCTTGTGGGATACCACAAAAATTTGCATTTCCACACTCAATTGAAATAATTTACATTGACTGTTACTATTGCACGTAAATTTATTCTTCCTCTTTCAGGTGCGCAGACAATCAACCCTCCCGGCTAATCCCTGCCAACCGCCAATGTATTTATCCACTTCACCGAATCGCCCCTACAGCCGCTCGCCGGAGCGTTCTCCAGGTGAGCAACGTTATCCACCGTTCATGCGTCAAACATCATTTCCGTGCAACATGGCAGAGCCTCCTACACAACAACAGCAGCAGCCAAAGAATCATCTCAATTTTGGTACCACACCGCCCAACCAGTCATATCAACGCAAGTTGCTACCCACCTCACCCAACTACCAAGGATCTGCTATGTACCAGCAACAGCCTACGCAACAGCAGCAACAGCCACCACCACAACAGCCTGCTCAATCCAACTACGACCCACAAACTGGCCAAACGCAACCAGCTGACGAAATGGACTATACACAAGTTATGCCCAAAGCACGCATGTTGCGACAGGCCACGTTACCAAACCCCGATCAACATGTCAAACTGTTGCCCACCTCTCCACCAAAGCGTCAGACCTCGCCACAATATCGACGATCACCAGAATTTATGCGACAACAAACGTTGCCGAATCCGGAAGCTTTTAGTGGAAATTCGCTCTCGGTACCACCAGGCCAGGCACAAGCGAAATTTATGCCGCTTTCACCACGTCACAAGCAGAACTTTCTTTTTCCGAATGTACAGCGACAGTTCTTATCGCAGCAGCATGTGCCGGCGGTCGGAGTTAGCAGTGCCGACGTAATCACAACCGGCATCAGCGCCGGCGAACAGTACTCAAGCAGCCAAAGTGTGAACATACAATCGCGGGAGCATGCCAAAATGATGAAGGTTCGCAGTCACAGCAATGAGGAATACTCGATCACGAAGCCATACCACACCGAAAATAGGCGGCTACTACCAGAGATACCGACGAATCGTGCATCCAGGTAAGTTTCAGTAAGCTTTTGTCAGTTTTTTCTGATTTATAATTTTTCTGCGCTACTTATAGCCGTACACCCAGTCGTCTTGTGCGTCAAGAATGCATCAAAGATGAACGCAGTAATGCGACCGATGCTAACACGCGCACCTTTGGTGAAGCGAAGCAACAATTTAATCAATTTCAAAATGTCACCGAAGAAGCTGACAATCGTCCTGAATATATGGATTACTTTGGCGACAGCACCAGCAGCTTTTTGGAGGCGGATGAAGTGCAGTACGAGAAAAATTACAATGCCGGCTTCAGCAGCGAACCGCGCATTATCTACAATGATGGATCCGATGATGGCAGTTATAACCAATACCAACGGCCCATGGTGCACAGCGCTGAGACGGTGCTCGTGCACGATCAAAACTACAGCTACTACGGAGCTGATGGTGGCTTGAGTGCTCAAGCTTTGACTACTGGGCTTAGCGCCAGTGGTGGTGCTTTACCGCGGACCCCACAAATGCACAATCGGCTGCGAAGACGACAATCACGTGAACTGCAAATACAACAAGAGGAAATGGCTCATTTGAATCGGCAAGCAACGGCCGGTATGCCTACAACAACCGGAGGTGTTCACCCTACAGGGGCGGCCTGTGCAAGTGGCGCTGGCACTTCGGCTAATAGTGAAGCACACGATACACAAGAAAGACGCAAACCTGAACAAATGCGCTCAATATCGGAAGACTCGGGTGCCAAAACAAATCCACAAAAACCAGTCACAAGACGATCGTTATCACATCCTGAAAAAGGGACCCAAGTAAGCACACAAATTTAATTTGAAAAATTTCTTTTTTGATTGTCGTTCTCTTTATCTATTTAGTTCAACAAGAAGGTTGAGCCCACTAAAATACCGAGTCCGAAACCGTTGGCTGATATTTTAGATAAGACACGAACTAACACGAAAATACCAACGCCTCGACGACGTAATAGCCGGGACACAAATGGTGCCGATACAGAAGATGGTAAGTAAAGAGTGACTAAGTTTTTAATTATACACGTTAAGTAAGAAAGACATGCTAGACACCAAGCCAAACAAACACATAATTTGTTGAGTTCACTCGGTGAGCATTATAAAAGGAAATTTTACACCCAAATGAATCACTAACACGAATCCCGATAACCCAAAGAAGAAACACACTTGCGATTCTCGAACCTTTCCTAAGGTTGTTCACGTTATTCGTATCGAACCACTCAACTAGAGTTGCATTAAAATGACATCTCTCGTCTTCAGATCAGGATAGAAGGCATATCCATATCTAGTCACTATTCTAAGAAGGAAACTTACTGAAAATTATGCTGCTTTGTTTCTCTTATTGCGCAGTTGTTTGCAATTCTAACTTTAGTAATAACTCTTCCTCCAATCACTCGACCTCATCTCCAGTTAACACAATTAATAAAACAGAAACGTGTTTAGATAAGTCTGCAAAATGTTTTCGGCCCCAACGTAAAATTCCTAATATAGAAGATTGACAGCTTGCGAAAATAGATAGAACGAAGCAATGAAATTGCACGAAATTTGAACGGGTAATATTTACTTACTAGGAAACATCGTTACAGCCTAAATATTTAGCCTAATTCCAGTATAGAAAACTAACTTAGTTTACCTTACATGNAATTGCACGAAATTTGAACGGGTAATATTTACTTACTAGGAAACATCGTTGCAGGTAGGTTTAACAGCCGAAATATTTAGCCTAATTCCAGTATAGAAAACTAACTTAGTTTACCTTACATCGATGGAACTATCCAGCTGTGTAATTCTGTGCCAGAGCTATCGGCAAAAATCGAAATCTGGAACCAAAGATTGCTGCATAGATGGTTTTCCTACGGACTAGTAGTTTGGTGGGAAGCTCTCAATAAAAAAATATCAGAAAAATTCACAAAGTTCAGTCACAGGCTCTTCTACCGATAACATGGGCAACGAAGGCAAAAGCCGCCCAAGTTCTTATTAAGTTATTAAACCTTCTTCCCATAGTTTTATAAAGTTTTATTGGCAAAACTGCGACTGACTCTCTTTAACCGACACTACCAACACCAAGTTAATGACCAGATTTAGCCTAAGATAAGATAAGAGATTGGACGCCGGTAAAAGAAGAGGATCAATCCATTTTTACAAGGATGAGTCAATACTTGGCAAGAAGGTTGGAGGTAATGTTTGCTCAGAACAATTATATTTTCGTTAGTACAGTGTTTGTCAAGCGGATTTTATGGCTACCCCAGGGGCCGCTAAATGTCGCCGATATCAGCCTTGCGCATCATGGTGTTCCTCTTGACACATGTAAATATTTAAATGCAATATTATAAGAAACTATCAATGAAGGGTTGTAAGTGAAACCTAATAGCAACATCGTGTTAAACTATAAATGCTCAACGAACAAAGTGATGTTTAAACTTGGGAGGCGTTATATCTTCTTATTAAAAAGTGCAAAAAAATTAAGGAAAAGACCGAACACAACGTCGAACGACTCCTAAACAAGAACGAAGATTAACCAAGCCAAAATCATCTCTGTCACTGCCAGAAATTAGCTATAAGGAGAGAAAAAGCTCTTGGTAGTTATTTATTTCTACTATGGTCTGAAAGTCCTCAGATCAATAGATATTAGGAACTTATCCCCAACTTTGCTTAGAACGAAGTAGTTCTTAGTGCCGACCGCTGTGGTGTAGTGGTTAGCAGTGCGACACATCGTTCCGTAGGGCCTGGATTTGAGCACACGTCAAAAAAAAAACAAAAAATACTTCTAATAAAAAATTCTGATCGTTTTCTACCATGAAAAACAGATTCTCAAAAAAAAAATACAATCGCCGGTCGGCCCTTTGTCTAACAAAATCAAGGCGCACGCCACAAATTGGAGGAGAACCTCGGTCAAACACTAACATATGTGTTGTGTAAGGACCAATCTATTATTATTAAGTGTTTTTAGGACAACCCCAAGCGGTTCCACAAAGGTCCCTGAGTCTAAGTGAGTCCCATCAACTCTGCCTTAAAACATTAATTAACGTTAGCCCATGTCATTGAATAGTTTCGAGACCAAACCCACAAACAAACTAGAAAAAGTTTAACATTCCAATATTTGCATATTCTTAAAATATACTTCTAATTTCTAAGGCATAAATGAAATGTTTTCTGAAATACCTTATACTATGCCCTACTAATTAATTCTTTGCCTTCTGACTCGCTCCCCTAATCTACAGGTACCAACAAACCCTATTCGAACGAAAGACGAAACTCCGATGTATCTCTGAAATCAGCAAATAAAAAACATGAACAACAACAGCATACCGGGGAACAAAAAGTATCATTGCCATCTACAAAATTGAATGGCAACAATAAGTCGCCAGAGAAAAAAGATGAATTCAAAGAGAAGACTAACCAGTCAAAAGACAGTGACAGCAATGATCAAGCAAAAAATGTTGATGAAATGCAAAAACAGAATCCAACAGTTGACACGACAGAAGGCAATAAAGGCGTTGCAACGACAATTCCCAAGGTGAGTTGTGGAGATTATGCTACACATAGTGGAAGAGTGAGTAATGTCCATCTCCCTTACCTATTTCCTGTTGGTTGGTCTATACAATGGACTTGTACAATGCGTGGCAGGAAATATAAATGGTTCATTCATAACAAGTTTATGGTTAGAAATTTAGCTTTCGTAAATTTTCTAATACATCCCTTATTTTATAATTTTTATAAATATTTATGTAGTATTTCGTTTTCATTATTGTACATACTTTTTCTTTGCTCTAACTAAAGCAACACACAACTACTTTGGGTGAACAGGAGATACAGAATGCTGTGGAAGCAGCAGCCGTTGTATTTAAAAAGGTCGTACTGCAACGTCGCCAGGAGAAAAAAGCAGCCGAGGAGGGTAAGTTTTGCATTTATTAAGCTAATTCTACGTTTTAGTAGTTACAAAGTAGCCAATGATTTGTTTGTTGCGTTTGACCGGGGTATATGCTATGCAGCTAATTATGTGCGCTTTCTGGTGATGGTATAATTATACATACATACAAAAAATTCTGTATAAAAGTTACGCTTTGGTGGTGGGCACTCATCTATATATGTAATATCGATAACTACAAGTAATTTTTAAGCAAAAAACAAAACCCGACTTCAATTCCCAAATAAAAATTTAATCGTACCGTTAGTTTCTTCATGACCAAATGATCGGATCTAAACAAAATTAATATGGGACCACCTTTGAGGCAACACCTTCGCGGTTGACGTGATCCAAACTTATGCGGTAACACACATAAAAATATAAAAATATTTCGAGAACTGATAACCTTCTCCTTTTTTTTAAGTCGATTAAAAACGTATTTAAGTTATAACTTTACATTAAGCTTTTCAGGCGTTGTGGCTTTCGGCATTCAAGCCGTAACATAAAACTTATAGGTGCACAAAATGCTGAAAGACTGAAAGGTGCTGACTGCCTGTAAAGCTTGGTGTAGAGTTGAACTTTTACTCCGAGCTAATATTTCTTTTAGTGTTCATAATGTAAAGTACTACATAGACATGTATTAACATAGATATACAGGCCGCTAGTTCTTAGTTCAACTATGTAAATATGTAAACAGGCACAGGAAAATAACATCCATATACATACATATATATGTATTTTAGCGCACTTTTTATTCACATCTATCGGTAAATATGTATATAGTTCAGCACTATAACTGCACAAAATGAAAGTAAATCTTTTCACTTGCCCTTTTCGAAAAGCTAATGATATCCTTTAGAGAAAATGGTGGATGCATCACGTACATTATGGGGCAACGTCAAAAAAAAGTTGCGGTTTTTCACTGGAACTAAAAAATGTATTATATTTTCGGAAACACATCAAGATTTACGTGAGCTAGACGAATTTGAAATTACCTCCAAACTTCTCAATATTTTGATTGCATTGATCAGATTTTTAAACATTTTCATGTAGATCTTTTAAGCATACACTCTTCTATCATCTGAGATGATTTTTTAGAAAATCTTTGTTTTTAACTATTGTATGTACAAAAAAAATCGTTTTTTAATGTATTTTCAAATACCTCACCTAAGTTAAATCTTAATATTTTCCTAAAAATATAAAAAACTAGATTGCCTTCACCAGCTTCGCTGAGTGTATAAAATGTTTGCGTGTTACATTAAGCGAAATTTATTTAAACAAACTTCAAAGCTTGAGATTCAGCCAAAAACAAAGGAAATCTTCAAATTTTTTAACCCTCTTTAATATGTTTTCAAACTAAATCCTTCTTGAGCTGCTTTAACTCAGACCTAATTTGAATTCTTAAACAGGTGGCAACCCTGTTATATGTAGTTTAGAAATGATGGTTTTTCTAAACCATTTTGACTGATACCCATATTGTAATAGATAATTCAACTTATAAAATAATTTTAATTGAATTTAATTTAAAAAAAAAAAACAGGCGGCAACCATCTTAAATCACCGCAAAAACACCACATGTTCTAACTAAAGATTTCTTAACACGCTTGCCTTTGAGAATGTTTTTTATTTTAATTGAATTCGACTTTCAAGTAGGTGGCAACCCTCTTCAAAATGTTTCAAAGAGATGGCAACCATCGTCCATGTAGTTTATTTAGAAATAAAGCCTTTTTAAAACCATTTCGATTGATACCAATAATGCAATAATTCATTTCAAACAGGCGGCAACCCTTTTTAAACGCCTAAATAATATCCTAAATGTTGAAGCTAAAAGTTGCTTACATTTTTTTCGTTTAATCCCTATGTTTTAAATTTTCATATATCTTGTGAATAATTAATTTAAATTAAAGAGTACAGATTTTTTTTGTATGGGAGTACTGCACCCCTTTACGAATTAGTTAGTTTTGAGTATTAATATAACATAATCGGTTTTACTCGCTCAAAAAAATTAAAAACCGAGGTGATTTCTCTTCAAATATTACCAAAAGTCGTTTTTCCTTCTCTCCTCTAAACATACTCTTTCATTATTTTTCTTATTTCATAAGCATGAAGAAGCCTTATATGGATAAGTCGTTTTTCGGTTGTTCGTGTACGGTGGTAGTTATTAAATCTCTTCAAAGCACCGAAAGACTGATCGTAAGAAGCTGCTAAAGTTGGAACCCTCGTTATGAATTTTAATTATTTATAGACTTGGTCTAAACGACTTTTACCCGCAGAAGATTTTCTAACATGGAATAGAATTTCTTTCTGTACTTAAATGCTTTTATANATATATATATATATATATATATATATATATATCTGATAAACTGCCGCTTATATCTTAGCGATGAGATCGATCTAATACACCATTGTGTAAGGACGAGTGTAATGAGATTTCCTTTTGATTGTGTGGCTGTCAGAGCGTCGTTCGCGTGTGTGACGTAAATGTGTTTTCCTAAGATATTATGTGAAGATTCTCTCACCACGCAAACAATATCAGAAATCCCATGAATACCCTTGGCCACTTCTTGTAGAGCTAAATAGAATAACCATTTGACGAAAACATTTGAAAAAGTGCCTCAATAAAATGAGTGCATAAGTTGGAGGAGAGTGTCAAAATGAGTATTACTTAGCCCCGTTGGAAAATCTGAGGTGCAATCACCCTTCCTCGATGTCTCTGCAAACACGTACCTATACATTCATATTACCTAAGTGTTCATTCATATGTACATATGTACATACGAATATATTTGCCAGCCAGCAAAATAAACAAAATCTCTGTGTTTGCATAATTGACATAATTAAATTCGTATATACCTAGTATATATTAAAATGTGTTTGTATTTACATAGATTTGTTTATCTACAGAGAATAGTTGAGTGCAACCTTCATTTGTTTGTTAATGATGGACACATTCGTATTCGCATTCTACTTTCTTAACTACTAGGGATGTTCATTTTTTTTCATTTTTACGATCCCGGGATTTTCAGGATCCAGTTATTTCCCTACATCCCGGGATCAGTCCCGGGGTCTAATTATTCATTATTTTTCAACAACTTAACACGAAAAAATTGCATCAATATTATTTGAGAAGCTCTCCTTCCATATAATAAATAAATAATAAGTAAATAGGTTTGAAATGGAAATGGGA